ATGCGTCAGACATTGTGGAAAGTTGCTGGAGATGGAGAAATGGAAGGAAGAGTTGTTTCACTCAAAAAGCCCTTCATCTTGTTGAGGGCGCAAGCAAAGAAACTGGCAGCATTAATATATTGTGAACATAGAGCCATGACGGACGGACAGTAAGATATGAGAGGATCACAGAGAAGGAAACCGACAGAACTGAGGGAATGGAGGGCTTTCCAGGGGAGGTGATGTCTAAAAAGGAGACTTAACCTATTAAATGGACTTAAAAACTTATCTTGCATGGTGCTGTGGAGAATTGAGTAACAGTCACAAAAAACCTAAATGAATAATTGGCAATGAAAGTATTAAACAAATGTTGTTATTATCGTATATTTATTAACCTGATGAAAAAAATGAGGTAAGGGCATTTTAGAAACAGATACTTTTTTTGAAAAACAAAGAGATCATGAGAGAATGCTGTGTATTTGTGGAATTGCATGTATTTCAGTATAGCCAGCCAGCAGGGCACCTGCTAAAGAATGAAAAGAGATGAAGCTAGTGAGATGGGTAATGCTCAGATCAAAACCCACCTGTGTGCCATGCTATTGAATTCCATTCTAAGGAAGCTTGCAAGCTATTATAATATGAAATATCATTAATTAACATTTATTATGCACTAATTATGCTGGGTGAGGCCCTTGGTTGCTGCAAATGTTTAAGTGCTTGGCTACTAACTGAAAAGTTGGCAGTTAGAATCCACCCAGTGGTGCCTCAGAAGAAAGCCCTAACAATCTACTTCTGAAAGATCACAGCCATTGAAAACCCTATGGAGCACAGTTCTACTCCAGATCACATGGGGTCACCATGAGTCAGAACAACTTAATGGAAACTGGAAAAAAAATTACACTCCTTGGTGTACAAACAATGCTATAGTCACCATTTTGGTCTTCTAAGAACTAAAATTCAAAGGCAAATAATTGTATCTCCTATTGTATATAAGCATTTCAAGCTAAACAGTATTACTAACTTTTTATTATTTTTAATCCCACTGTAAATCTTAGGTGTATAACCTAAATTTTTTCATGCTTAGATGACATAAAAATATAATTATTAAATCTTAACTAAAATTGAAAATATAATCTGAAATATTTTAAAATGTAATTTTTATTATCTAATATATTTTTAAATACAGGGTTTGAAATTTTTGAAAAAATAAATCAGTGAAAAAAATGTTCTATAGTATAACAACAATAAAATGGAATTCAGATTTCCAGAGTCTTCCAAGCCTAGATCTCAAAGTAGCTTTGGGTGGAAAGCCTCTAAATTGTTCAAACCTGTGTCACCCAGGTTAGAGAAAAAACAGTGCCAAAAGATAGTTAAATTATAAATACATTGTTTTCATGGCTCTAGTCCAGTTTGCTCTGGTGACATTTCAGCATTTCTCAAAAGACTTACAAACAGTTCTTCGGTCCCCAAGTTCAATCTCACTCATGAAATGCAGATTTGTACTCTTGACCAACATGTGGCACCCAACAGTTTCTTCTCTGTAGATCCAGCTCACTATGAGGACATCTCCACTCAGTTTTGATGTTGTGGAGGAAGATATGTTGCCCGTGTTTACCAAAGCCTCATTGGTGGTACCTACTGAAGGTTGTTGTTGTTAGGTGCTGTTGAGTCTGTTCCAACTCATCGCAACCCTATGTACACCAGAACAAAGATTGCCAGATCCTGTGCCATCCTCACCATCTTTGTTATGTTTGAGCCTGTTGTTGTAGCCACTGTAATAATCCATCTCGTTGAGGGTTTTCCTCTTTTTTGCTGACCCTCTACTTTACCAAGCATGATGTCCTTCTGCAGGAGATGGTCCCTCCTGCTAACATGTCCAAAGTATATGAGACGACGTTTCGCCATCCTTGCTTCTAAGGAACATTCTGGATGTGCTCTTCCAAGACAGATTTGTTTGTTCTTTTGGCAGTCCATGGTATATTCAATATTCTTCACCAACACCATAATTTGAAAGCATCAATTCTGCTTCAGTATTCCTTATTCATTGTCCAGATTCCACATGCCTACGAGGCAATTGAAAATACCATGGCTTGGGTCAGGTGCACCTTTGTCCTCAAAGTGATATCTTTACTTTTTAACACTTTAAAGAGGTCTTTTGCAGCAGATTTTCCCAAAGCAATACGTTGTTTGATTTCTTGACTCCTGCTTCCATGAGCGTTGATTGTGGATCCAAGTAAAATGAAATCCTTGACAACTTCAGTATTTTCTCCGTTTATCATGACATTGCTTATTGGTCCAGTTGTAAGGATTTTAGTTTTCCTTATGTTAAGGTATTGTCCATACTAACCTGGAAAAGGTGCGAGAATGCAATTTTTGCTTTTCACTGTTATCTGCAGAAGTGCACTGCCTCCTTCTTTCCTTTACTGTAAAATCCTCTGGGGCCCCCTTCAGTATTACTGAATTGGCTGATATGGTGCAAATTGTTGACACCATTGCTTCTGAGATCTTCTAAGTCTCCTATAAGAATTCTCATTTAAGACTAAGACATGAATTATGAAATCTGATCAAAAGTCGAGTTTAGTGACAGATAATATGCTCTACATAGAGTCACCCATCCCCTCTGTCTTAGTTATCTAATGCTGCTATACCAGAAATACCACAGGTGGATGGTTTTAACAAACAGAAAATTATTCTCTTACAGTTCAGGAGGCGAGAAGTCCGAATTCAGGATGCTAGCTCTAGGGAAAAGCTTTCTTTGTCCGTCAGCTCTGGTGGAAGGTCCTTGTCTCTTTTCAACATCTGTGGGACCAGTGTTCCTTGGAGATCTCCATGTGTCTTGGCATCAATCTTTTCCTGGGTGTAGGAGGTTTTCAGCGTAGGGACCCCAGGACCAAAGGACACGCTCTGCTCCCGGCTCTTCTTTCTTGGTGGTAGTGAGGTCTCTCTACTCTCTGCTTGCTTTTCTCTCCTTTTGTCTCATGTAGGCTAAAAGGTGTGACCCAAGCAAGGGTGTGACTTGAGCAAGGCTGTGATTCATGGTACACCCCGCACTAATCCTGCCTTATTAACCTATAGAAGTTTAGGATTTACAATACATAAAATGGAATAATTACACGATACCATAACATGGGGGACAATTATATCAGATCACAAAATGGAGGTCAATTATACAATATTGGGAATCATGGCCTAACCAAGTTGACATGTATTGTGCGGGGATAAAATTCAATCTACTACACCCTCTGAATCCTACCTACTTACTTTAATCCATACTTGTGCCACTCCACACCCTCTTTCTTTAGGTTTACTTTTCCCCAGGAATATCATAATACTCCAATTAAAAAAAAAACAAAAAACTAAACCTGTTGCCGTTGAGTCAATTCTGGCTCATAGTGACCCTAAAGGACAGAGTAGACCTGCCCTATAGGGTTTCCAAGGAGTGCCTGGCAGATTCGAACTGCTGACATTTTGGTTAGCAGCCATAGCTCTTAACCACTATGCCACACTCCAATAGGCCTGTTGAAAAATCCCAGCTACCCATCTCTCAACTGCATTCTGGTATAAGAAAAACTCTTTAAAAAATCACCTATATGAGACCAAACTATCAACAATTACTTTATGTAAAAAGACAGGGCAACTAGATTAATGAGAGTGGAACAACCAGAATGGAAATAATGACAATGTTTCTGCATTTTGAAGAATGTAACCAATGTCCTTGAATGACTTGTGTAGAAATTCTTGAGTGAGAACTTAAACTGCTGTTTAAACCTTCACCGAAAACACAATAACAATTTTTTTTAAAAAGCAAAACAAACAAAAATCCCAACACCTCATTAGTAGAAAAGTGCCAGAACGTCCAGAAAAAGGAAAGAAAACAGAGAGGATTTAAAGATTCAAATATAATACCCAATGTTCAAAATTTTGGACAAAAAGCAGATTTTTTTATGAGAGAATAAATATAAAAGGTTAGCCAGTCCACTGGAAATCCATAAGAGTAGAGAAAAATAGGAGTTTGTGGCGGAGGAAATGGAGGAAAATAGGAGAAAAGAAAGCTGTAGAGTTCTGTGGAATCAGTTGGGTGAGAAGAACTAATTATAAGCAATGATGGACATGGGAAGCAACATTGGGTTAGTAAAAGTCAGTCAGTCAGTCAGTCAGTCCATCAATATAAACTCCAATGGTCATGAAAGGATCATGCAAAAATAGATGCAAAATCAGATATTCAATCTGGAATTGCACAGGCCAGCTTTGGAGGATTACTAAATATTTGGAGGATTATTAAATATTGACTTCTTTTGCATGAAACATCAGAACAATATATATCCTTGCCTGCTGCCTATGTACATGTTTGAAAAACAGCTAAAACATGTTTGCATCTTGGAAGTACATGTCTTTAAGATATGCATATATGTGTATGTGAGTCAGGCAAGTTTGTGAAGGAGAAACAGACAGAGAGAGAGAATAAACAGTCTGAGCCTATCTGTTCAAAAATCACATCAGCTGTAGAGGTGGGGAAGAGAATATAAACGTAAGTTGTTACTTATATTGAAGAGAAGGTACTATTTTTTGGGGATTGGTATAGTTTTTATTTCTTGTTGAAACCTAACAATTCTTTTTCTAATATATAATTTATTTTTGTTGTTGTTGTTGAGAATATACACAACAGAACATACACCAATTCAACAATTTCTACATGTTCAATTCGGTGACATTGATTACATTCTTTGAGTTGTGCATCCATTCTCACCCTGCTTTTCCGAGTTGTTCGTTCCCCATTAACACAAACACCCTGCCCCCTAAGTTTCTTATCTAACCTTTTGAGTTGCTGTTGTCAATTTGATCCCATATAGATAGATCTTAAAAGAGCACAATGCGCAAGGCAGGCATTCTTTACTGGTTAAGCTGAACTATTTACTTTTTATTGTTTACAAGGCCAACATAGTTGTGTCCCTAAAATGCAAGGAATTAAAAATCCAAGTATTTAAAATACAACACCTGTGCAATTTTTTTTTTTTTTTCAGGAAAAACGCTCAACAATTTTTAAAGAAATACATGACACAAAGAGTAAAACATCTGATTTTCAAACCAAGATAAATACATTGAATGAGGAATTAATATTAAAAGAACAGGAAAAGAAACATTTTGATGAGACACTTGACATTTTAAAGTAAGTACTTAAATTTTATCAAAATACTAAGTATATTTAATATATTATTGATAAAAGAGGTAAGATTAGGTTTCCATATTTAAAAGTTATTCTTAAAATCCTCCATATTTTCTATCATAATATTATGTAAATATACACAGGATATTTGATTTACAAAAGCATAGTCATAAATTGTATTTTTTTTTCTTCATTACTTGCTGGGTTTGTTATTGTTTGAATAACTGGGGATGTTTTTCCTTCTCCAAGTATGTGAATGTTTATTCTTTATGATATTAATGATCTTTTTAATTAATTTCAGTGTTTCTCATTTGTGTACCATGTTTAATAATTTATGGGTTTTCACCCAAACTTTTTGGATAACAGTTTTGAGGTAAAGAGTTTAGAAATAGATCTATAAAACCTCATGTAATGTATGCAAATTTATCATCTTCAAAAGCCACTTATCCAGTAATTTCTTCAGCCTGGGGCATAACCAAAGCAGAGTAGGTAAGGTGCCTGGGATAATGATCATGATCTAGGGCTCATAGGGCATCCCGTAGACCCTGGCTTAGAATTTACTTATTCTTCCTTTACTCGTCTTGGTTCTTATTTCCTATATTATAATACATTGAGAACAGAGCTGGGAGAACCATTAAGAAGTGTGCATTACTTGTATTTAGGAATGATAGTTTGATTTAAATATAGAAGTCTAACACAAACATCAGCAAAATTTTAGCTCATGACAGATAAAGTGTCAAAAAACAAAACAAAAAAAGTTATGCTCAGCCTGATATCATATAAATTAATAGATTCAAGTCAGTGCATTCAACAAGAATTTGTTTAGCTATTACCTTAGGGAAAAACTTGTTTCCAAAATGATTATCTAGCTTTATCTAAAATAGACTAAATTATATTCATCATATCCTGTAAGAAAGCAGGGGGAAAAAGTCATTTACTTTGAAAGATATTTATCCACATTATTTGAGATCTGTAAGAATATTTTTGGGCTCAAAGGTATAAACTGGAAATTATGTAATTTACACTAAATTTTTAAGATCAAATTTAGGAGCTGATGGAAATTTTTCTTCAAGAGGAATTCTTACCATTTCAAGTCTAATGTTTTACTTCATACTATGGCTGGATTTTATTGCTCGGCAGGCAGCAGTGGTGACCGTGTCCCAGTGACTCAATTCCTTCTCTAAACATGAAAAAACTCTCCCTTCCCACATGGAAGGAGGAAAAGAATAAACTGATACTATGGTATTATTTACAATTGTATTAATTAACAGCAATGATGGACAATATCAAGTATTATTTAAACCTACCATTGGTGGATTTCCTAATGTGCTATACACTTTGCTGGGCAATCTATGTACTTTTTCTTATTTAATTTTCACAACAAATACTTAAGTTATGCAATACTATTTTCCATATGCTTGCTAAGAGAAAAGATAATCAGAGACATTCAATGATTGCCTTAAGATTGCACTAATTAGTGGTAAAGCTAACTCCAACTTAAACCAAAAGAAACCCCTTTGTCTTCGAGTTGTTTCTGACTCATAGCGACCCTATAGGGCAGAGAAGAAGCCCCATAGGGTTTCTAAGGAGCATCTGGTGGATTCTAACTGCTGACCTTTTGGTTAGCAGTGGTAGCTCTTAACCACGGAGCCACCAGGGCTAACTCCAACTTAGGTCTATCCTATTTCAAAGTGTGTGCTCTTTCCACTGTGCATACTGACTCCCTGAACCACCACTGGGAAGGAGGATTACTGCAGATAGGTTGTATTATGGATAACCTACTAGTATCATCAACAGATGACCATATCAAGTTAATAATTATTAATTAAGAACCCATAGGTTGCCTAGCACCAGGCACCAAAAAGGATAAAGAAATGGCTAGTGGATAGTGTGCATACAAGTGTCTGAAAATCTTTTTAGAGAGATAAACCTTGTATATCCAACGTAATTAAAATATGATGTCACAAATCAATAGTAATCCAAGCTGCCCTTGGTTCTCCTTTAATTTTCACAACTCTTTCTTAACTAGGAAGTGGAAGGATTCAAACCCAGACCCATGAAGTTTCAGAGTTTCTTCTTTTAATTACTATGAGAAAGAAAATATTATTTTCATGCATGTACACACATAAAATATACATATACAGTATATATAATATATACATATACTTTATATAAAATGCTATATTGAATATAATGTAATCTCAAAATATTTTATATAGAGGACAAAGTAGATATGGTCAAGATATATTGAGAGTGATGTTTGCTTGCGGGAACTATGAAAGTTTATATTTTTGGTCATGCTAGTCTTTTCCTGTGTGAACTTCATTGGTTGCCTATGCTCCACCGTGTCACTATTAGTGAATACTTAGATAGGACATCACATAAGAATTCTGGATGTTGTTGGTAACAGGGCGTTTAGAGCAAGATAGAACTGGATTTGAATTCTGGTTCTATCAGTTACTGTTTTTGCTTTACAAACTACTTAACTATACTGAAGTTTAGGTTCCTCATCTGTAAATGACTGAAATGTTATTTCAGAGGGTTGTTGTTGTATTAAATGAGATAATATATTCAAAGCACTGTAATATTTTAGCTTCTTAAAAAATAATAGTTCTGCTGCCTCTGTAGCTAACTGTGCAAATGATTCAATTTTCTGTACCAGTAGAGATGAAACCAGTATGGATAACATAAGACTATGCTGAGCTTTTGTGGCTCTGCTTATTCTGGATCCTGAGTTGCTGCTCACCTGTGGAAAATTTTTTTAAGCATGCTTATTTTTGCTAGTATTATTTTAATTACTTTCTGATGCCTTTACTCCCAGTGTTGCTTCTTTTATAACTACCAATTTTACCATAAAAATTGGCATTTTGCCTTTGTATCAAGATGTATTTGGCTGCAAATAAAAATACACACACATACATTCAGATGCCATCTTAAACAATAGGGAAATGTATCGTCTTATGGAATAGGAAGCCCGTGGGTAGGAAAGCTTCAGAGTTGGTTGGTTCTGCAGCTCAGTGCTAAGGACTCATTCGTTTTTCTTTTTCCATTTTGGCTGTTATCAGCAAATCTGAAGCATGACACCTTGTTCACATTTAGTGGATGTGAACCTCTTCTTCCCCATAGAATAGACCCTTCCCTTTCATCTTATGGAGCCATCTTAATATATGTGCTCACTGCAGACAATTAACCATGAGATGACTGGCTTTAACCTAATTAGAATGTATCCCTGGAGTTACATGAGGTTCTGTTGGAATAAGGACAGAACAGAAGGATGCTGAGTATGCAGCCAAGAGAAACCAGTAAATTTCTCCATAAATTTTCTTCCACCTGGATCATTTAGATGTAGCTATATGGATTTAGGGTGCTGCAAACAGTTAAGCACTTAGCGGGTAACAGAAAGGTTGGTGGTTCGAACCCACCCAGACATGCCTTGGAAGAAAGTCCTGGAGATCTGTTTCTGAAAGGTCACAGCCATGAAAACCCTATAGAGCAAAGTTGTACTCTGTAAACCTGGGTTCACCATGAATTGGAATAGACTCGACAGCAACTGATTTGATTGGTTGGTATATGGAAGTAGGTCTTAGAAAGGGATTAGGAAACTTTTCCAAGGCCCGTCAGCTCTAGTATTTTTCAATAATGGGTCTTTAAAAATGTATCTTAAACATATTTTATTAAGTATGTTTAACTGATTAGTGGCAAATGCAACTTTTTCTTCATAGGGATAAATTTGTAAGTGTAAGATTTACAAAAGAACATGCGCAAGCTGTGTTTGATCAGCTCAACAGTGAGAAAAGAGCCTGTCGAGAGAGAGTCCATGAGGAAGAAGAGAGATTTAGGGTGCTCATTTCCATGAGGCAAAAAACTCTGGAAGAAATTAAAGTAAGTATCATTTTTGGACCATTTTAAAATGAGAGAAATATAGTGATAGTCCAATTGGAAGCTAGTTTGAGGCACACATTTTTCATCCGGAAGTAGCAAAGATGTTTAGATTTTTAAAAATAAATTTGTTAGCACAATAAACATGTAACTTTGCATTTTTCCTTCTAAGTCATGACAATATTTTTATATGGAATATTATACTTTCACTGCATTCTATATGTACTCCCATTGTATTATTGTGCTTTATTTTATTTTGAAATCTGCTTATTTAAAGATGCAGGTTACATTTATTCTATGGTTATTTTAATGTTTTTAATGGAAGATATGAGAATAGCTGCATTTTTGTTTCAGAATAATCATACTTTGAATTCTTACCAGCTGGTTTTTTTAAGAAATGGGAATATTTAATGCTCTTTTTCTCTAGAAAATTTTACATAATGCTTTAATCATACGGAAGATTTACTAGCAGAAACAGGGAAACCCTATGATAATGTGTCTTTTTAGATATGAGTTCTTACTAATCAAGTTTTATAAAGCTATAAATATTGAACTTATTATATAGACTATAATTAAATGATATGCATTTTAGTTTAATGATTCCTATTCCATTTTACATTTTTAATAGTTTTTGTAACATGTAAGTGCAATGAATAATAATACTATAAGATTTCAATATATTTATAAATATTGTTTAATTTTTGAGAGATACAATGAGAAGTTTTTCCTAAAAATTAGAGAATACTCCTGTAATTTATTAAAACTATTTCCTGTAGACTTTTAACGATATGTGTAATGTCATCATCATTTTATCAGCTATTCTTTGACCTTGATATTTTTATGTTCAACTATAAGCTATTCAGTTTTCTTCCATTTTTACATATTCAAAGACAATGCTATTAGACAACAAAGAAAGATAATTTGGAACAAATGTACATTGAATAAGTAAGTACGTGAATGAATGAAACCACCATCCTTAATGATTTCTCTGTGATCCCCTCCTATAAGAAAATTATTAATAAAGTTAAAGAGAAATGCTTTTAATAATGGTGCCAAGTAACCTTCTTCCGTTTTAAATGTGACCATGACATAGAAAAAAATATATACACACACACACACATCTGAAAATATGAAAATAATTGGTGCCATCTAGTGGCAGTAAATGGCGCTTCCTCTTGGAGGAGTTCTAGGACTTCGATGGCTGAGTCTCAGATATGAGATGTGTGAATGGACACCCCTCAAAATGAGAAGGCTTAAATTATTTACTGACTTAAGCATCATTCTCCGCCTCATATCTTACCACAGCAGTAGAATTAGTTGTTTGAATCCAGTCACATTTACCGATCATGCTGGTGCTGAGAACAGAGTGGGATCTCAATAATCATTTATCGACTGGCATTTCAGCACTTTGATGGAACAATAATAATTAGTGAAACGGCAAGGTATGGTCAGCAGGAGAGAGATGAATAAAAAATTCTGTATCACCAACTTCTAAATAATTGAGATTTGTATTTGTTTGCATCAGAAAGCCTGTTCTTGCCATCCCATTTTGAAGTGTACCCACCCCAAGCATTTGAACCCATCACATGATTTCAATTTTTTTTAAGCATTAATCTCTATCTGAATTGATTTTGCTCATTTATTTTACCCTGCTTGTTGTTTGCCTCTCTCCTGCTGTAAGGTTTTTTCTGTTAGGACAGGGAATTCTCATTCTTCTCTGTATACTAAAAGCTCAGAATGATGCCTGACACTGGGTAGGCACTCAATAAATACTTGTTGAATGAATGAATGCTTTTTTGATAACATGCCTTCCCACATGCATGGCAATGCTTGAAAGCAGTAGCATTTCAGGGATACTTGCTACACTATTACCAGCCTGATACTTTAGTGACCACTTATGCTGTACGTAGAAGCTGAATCTCTAAATTGTCTATTGCTTTCTAGCAATAAAAGGCTCCGTTACATACCTCAATAAATCTTCTCAAATCACCTTGCTTTATATGAAATTGTCTCTTATCATTTGCTGGGATAGCTCTTTGTCATGCATTCACCTTATATAGACTAGAAGCATAGTCTGCCCATGCAGGATTTAGAGACTGATATGCTTATCATTACTAATATTATCAATCTAAGGATAATATCCAATATTGGTGATTAAATAGTGGAAAGACAATGTGATCCCTGATAGCAAACCCTTTCTCATCCCTATTTAGAAATTGGAGAAAATAAACGATTGTAAATGTATATATAATATAAAGCATTCTTGGAAAGAAATGTCTTATGAAAGACATCATTATAATTTATTACTAATAAGGGGTGTCCCCCCTGGACAAAAAAATTGATCACAATTATGGATAATTGGAAGCAATTGTTTAGTAAAAGACTTTATAAAAGCCACAATAGAATTAATGGAGAATATGAGAAAACACACCAGAGAATTAAAAAAATACAAAGAGTTAATAAAAGAGTTTAATAAAAAATATACGCACACTTCAAATAACATACAATATGATTCTGGAGTTAAACTCAGTCTCTTTTCAGTAAATAATTTCTTACCATGTATCTTTATTTTTTTAATTTTAAAAATTTTATTTATTTTGTTGTTGTTGAGATATACACAGCACAGCATACACCAATTCAACAGTTTCTACATGTACAATTCAGTGACAGTGATGACAGTGATTCTTTGAGTTGGTCTGAGTTGTTACTCCCCCATTAACATAAACTCACTGGCCCCTAAGTTTCCTATCTATCTTTCAAGTTGCTGTTGTCAGTTTGATCCCATATAGATAGATCATGAAGGAGCACAATGCTCAAGGCAGACATTCTTTACAAGTTGAGCTAAACTATTGTTTGGTTTTAAGAAGACTTCGGGGGATAATTTTTGGTTTAAGGTTTAAATATTATTTCAGGGCAGTAGTTTCAGGGGTTCATCCAACCTCCATGGCTCCAGAAAGCCTGGAGTACATGAGAATTTGAAATTCGGTTCTGCATTTTCCTTTTGATCAGGATTCTTCTATAGAATCTTTGATCAAAATGTTCAGTAATGGTAGCTGGGCACCATCCAGTTCTTCTGGTCTCATGGCAAAGGAGGCAGTTGTTCATGGAGGCATTTAGCCACACAGTCCATATCCTCCTTCTATTCCTAATTCTCCTTCTTCCTCTGTTGCTCCAGGCATATGTCTTCAAATGGTAGATTTGTTTTTTTATGTCATGGTATTTTTACTGCCTAGAATTTGCAAATGCAATTGCTAAAAATTTCAAGCTTTCAATACAACATGGTCATCAGTTAGAGTGCTATAGTTCTAGCTACACTCTTCCTCTTTGCTTCTGGAATGATCCATGCAAAGCTGGAGTTTAAGACATTTTAACCAGTTATGTGCCATCTTCAGATGCCGTCTTCAGACATCTCTCTCTTTTCTGTGTCAATGCCTTTTCTTTGCACGTTCTTCTGTAGTCTCACTCTCCTCCCTAAAATTTAGGTTGTGATTTGAGGAGTGACAGAAGAAGAATTTCTAGATTGAGTTTTGGCAGAGATAATCTGCCAATACTTTGCAGAGTTTATTGATTTTTAGTTTGCTCCATATTTTACCCTCTCAGGAAATACCTCTTCCCTGGCTATAGCAGTTCCAAATTTGGCTACTAAATCATTTTTTGACCCTTTCATGTGGAAAATTCTTAGCTTAATATAGAGGCAGTGACTCACTGCTTCATTGGACAGCCAGGTACTGGAATAGTGAAAATCAGAAACAAACTTAATCTCTCAGAGAATTTTAAAGATTATTATAATTTTAAAAATTATTCCACCATGGGTCACTCATCATTTCTTCATTCATACAATTATTTTCTGAGAACATGAGTACTCCTATGTTCAAGGCACCAAATGGTGGATGGCCAAAACCATAGCCTCACTTTTAACAAGGTGATCTCCAGGGAAATAGAAGATGTAAAAAACAGACATGAATATAGTGACAAACACTCCAATTACAAACAATAAATTGTGCCTCTGGATCACTACCCTGGTATATTAGAGATTCTAAATAAAAACATCATAGATTCTGTGGTTTCAATAATGGGAAATGAATATGTGAAAAACCTGGAAACATTTATAGGAAGTGACCAATGAATATTCCAGGTTAAAATAATTTGCCTTAATGATAACCTTACTGTCACCAAAGAGATTTTTCTTAGCAACATGAAATAAAATAAGAACATGGTTTTCATAATTAAATTTCTTTCAACAAATACTTCTAATAGGATATTAATTACCAATTCATCATACCCTGGTGGCAGAGTGGTTAAGTGTTTGGCAACTAGCCAAAAGGTCAGCAGTTCAAATCCACCAGCAGCTCCTTGGAAACCCTATGGGGCAGTTCTACTCTGTCCTATAGGGTTGCTATGAGTCAGAATCAACTTGACGGCAATGAGTTTTTTGGTTTTAATGTGAATTAAAAATGTGATTTAGAAAAATCACTCATTTTTTATAAGTAACTTGTTGAAATCTATAACTTTTTGAGGAATGAAAGTTTAAATTTGAGTGTTGGTGAGAAAAGACTGCTAATTTTGCATCAGAAAACACTAACACTACAGTTTTTGCACAGATCCAGTGCTGCAGTGAACATAATGGCTTAAAATCAGGGGAGAATAACACTAGAATATAGGAGAAGGATGGACATGAGGATAGGTGAATCCCGAAATAAATTTATGTTGAACGTTTGCTTACAGCATGATCCATTAAACAAAGAAGCAGCTTGTCTTGGTTTCACATTTCTCTCTCGCATCATGTCGCACTGTGCTGATGTGGCCCATGATTACTGCTGATACTGTGTTAAAGCCCTGTAGATAAATTTTCAATAAGTTTTTTTTTTTTTTTTTTTGACTGATAACTAACCACAATTTTTAGCTTAAAGAAAAAATTACCTAGAAACATCTATTGCAAATGATTGGCTATAATCCATTTCAGTTGTTCTATACATTGATATTTTTTCCTGTGTACTTGTGAT